TTTCTGTAAACTCCCTTCAGCTTTGTGTTTGAGGAGTTAATACTTATTCTTCTTCTGCTAAGACAAGATCTCATTAAGCCAAATAGAATGAGACTGCCTGTTCTGATTGAGGACTTGGATCTCAGTTTCATTCTCATTGAACTATAGACCATATGGATGGTGGTTATAAACCCCTGCCAGAGTTCCACAATATTGCTTCATTTGTGGATGGGACAGAGAGCTCTTTGTGGAGAAAATGTTGGAGATCCTTACAGACCTTTGGCTCCTGAAGAGATTTGGTGCTGAGAGTCCTTTCCACTGCTTTTGGCTGTTCAGCTGTTTGGAGCAAGCCAGGTGTTCATAATGGATCTGTCCAGCATTTGTTGGTTCTTTGCATGGTTTGTGTCATACAAACATCCATTCTTTCTTGAAGTTCAACAATAACATAGCTGAAGAGCTGAGTGAGGGTGTCTTCAGGTGGTCTTGTATTTGTCGTTCTGTCTGAAGATGGTGTTTATGATGACAAGACCATAGTACATGCATTTTCTCAAGAGAAGGATGACATTGGAGTTGATTTTCCCTACTCCTTCCTTCCTAATGGTGCCACTCCAGAACTCCAGATGATGTCCAACTCTGGCATTGAAGTCACCAAGGAGAATGATCTTATCCTTCTCGTTAGCATTAGCCAGTACATGGTCAAGGTTCACATAGAATTCTTCTTTGATGTCAGCATCAGGAATTGGGGCATATGCACCAATGATGATGGCAGACTAGTTGTTACTGAGCTTAAGATGTCCATTAATGTGCAAAGGAAACTCCATGCATTGACCGATAAGCTGATTCTTGATGGTGAAACTGACACTATAAACATACCTGTCTTGGGCTGGTTTCCCCTTTCAGAAGAATATGCAGCCTTCGCTCTCTTCCCTTAGCTGAACCTCATCCAATCATCTTGTCTCACTCAGAGCTGCAATGTCAAAGTTGTATCTCACTAGCTCCCTGGAGACAATGGCATGTCTTCCTTTTCATTCATTGTCTTGGGTATCCATCAAGGTACAAACATTCTATGTTGTGAAAATCATTGTCGTCTTATGATGTTTTCAACCATAGAGGGAGAGATCCTGCTGCATGTGGTTTCCAGTCAAGAGAAGACAAGACAGCTTATGTTTAGGACACCTTTTCTAGGCCCTTCCCCATATGGAATGAGCAGAGGGGATCCTGAATAGGGCTGCTAAGTCACAGTAGCAGCTGCTGGATTGCACTCACAGAGTTGGTACCTACAGGATGGACACTTCCAGATTCACTAGTCCCGTGTCCATCACCACTGGTCCATTGACATAGGACTTTTGGATTTTGGTACATGACAGTGTGCTATTTCTTGTTGTAGGAGCCTACAACTGACTTTGTTTAATGTAAGGAAGCTTGTGCATGTAAACTGAAGTCACACAATCTTGTCATGGTTGAGATGTGGGCCCAGTGACAACAGGAGAATTCCATCTTGCTGCAGCTTTCTCCTATTCTTACATCCGTTAATATCCTGATATTCTTTTCTGCCTGATTCACTGTTGAGGACTTGGGGTTGGACCATGGGTTCTTTGGAAACTCCCCTCAGGCCTGCTTGCCATGGGTGACCCTTCCAAGACTGTGAGAATCTGGGTGACATACCTTTGAGGATCATTTGAACACACCAGCCTCTCCACTACTGCAAGATCTTAGTCCATAGAGAGGTAACACAGATGTGTGTTTGTGGATAGCAAACAGGGATAGGTCACTGAGAATCCATGGCATGGGGCTGCTGCAGCCAGCCAAAGCTGCTAGAGGCAGGAAAGACTCTTCTCCCACTCCTACACCAACTCCCTTCCCTCTGTATCAGTCTCCAGTGATTGGCTGAGATATTTTCAGAGTCATTAGCTATCCTCTTCGAGAACTCCTGGATGTCAGGTGATGACCTGGATGATTGGAAAAGGGCAAATATAGAACTAATCTTTAAGAAAAGGAAAAGGAGGATCCTGGGAATTATAGACCAGTCAGCCTGACCTGAACTCCTGGAAAGATCCTGAAGCAGATCTTCAAGGAATCTATTGTGAAGCACTTAGAGGAAATGGTGTTATCAAGAACAGCCAGCATGGAATTGTCAAGAGCAAGTCGTGCCTGACTAAATACACACTGGAGAAAAACTAAGCAGGCTGCAGTGCTACAGGCAAGGATCTGGGTAGGTTATAGTAGACCACAAGATGGATATAAATCAACAGTTTGTTCCCATTGCTGAAAAAAATCCAACAATATGCTGGTTTGTATCACATGCAAATCTATTCAGCACTGGTGAGGCATTAACTGGAGTACTATATCCAGTTTAGGGTCCTGAACTTCAATAAGGATATGGACAGATTCTAAAGAGTTCAGAGGAGAGTGACAAAAATGATTAGGGGCCTAGGCAACAGGATTTATGAAGAAAGGCTGAAAGATTTAGGATTATTATTCTGGAGAAGAGAAGACTGAGAGTGGATTTGATAACAGTCTTCAAATGCCTGAAGAGCAATTATAGAGAGGATAGAGACAGGCTTTTTCTCTGTGGCCATAAAAGAGAGAATTAGGAGATATAGCTTCTATCTGCAGCAGAGGAAATTTAGGATGGAGATTAGGAAAAACTATAGATCTCCATCCTTGGCAGTTTTCAACAGCAGGTCAGACAGACACTTGGATGATTTAGTCAGGGACAATCTGGTCATGAGCAGGACACTGTAAGAGATAACCTTCACAGGTCCCTTCCAGCCCTACTTTCCTATGATCCTATTTCCTGGACCATCCTGGATACACCATCACACTATGTTTGACAATGTAAACCAAAACACCATGACAAAACATACCCAGTTTGCCAGTCCAGTTTATCAAAGCTCAACTAGGAAGTTAGTGGCTCAAATATTCAAATGACAAGTGATTTTGGGTGCTTCATTTTTTAGGCTGGCATTATTTTAAAAGGATGTCTACAAATATTACCCCTTTCTAGGTATCCTAACATAATCCTAATCTAATGTGACTAATCTTTTAAGGATGCAAACAAGATTTGACCCCATGTTATATATTTCATTAGTTTGCAGATACTAGCAATACCTCATTTCAATATTGCAATACTTGAAAACAGGTGAGATGAGTTATCAGAGCTAGGGGGAAAAGTCAAATGGACAGAAGCAGGACAAATTATCTACAGATTGAAAAAAATTAAAAATCTGGCTATCGCATGTGTATCTGTATATTTGCACTTCTCTATATCTTAGTTTTAGAGCTGTAGTTAAGCAGACTGTTTCTTCATAGGAAGAATTATTATAGATATGAAATGAAGACACGAGTATTGTGACTTTTATGTTGTTTTGAGGTATCATCTCCAAAATCACAGTTTTTGTAAAAAGGCAGGTAAAGTATCTAGTACCTTTGGGACAACTGAAGCTGCAAATTATTTTAGGAAATTTTTAATTAGGCATGTTAAAATGAAGATAAATGATTGGTATAAACTGACCAGCAATAGAAAGAGATGTTGAAGATGGATGATAGATAATGCAATACAAGACACAGAAAAACTGCCAGTGCTAACTAGTAGTATTTTTTCTCCTACTTGATCTTTTTTGAAAATATATGGGAGGGAAGAGTCACATAGCATCCTTTACATAAAATATGGGGGAGAACTGAAAGACACTAAACAAAATAAAAGGTTATTTATTTAGGATGCTGGACATAACACCCATAGAAAGTCATGGTGCGTATTACAGGTTTTATCTGAGTCATCATTCAGATCACATAATACTGGAATAGACTGCTGGGTGCATTGTAGATTGCATCATAACCCTGGGAGTCAGATGTGTGGTTGAGGAGACCTGATATTTGAAAGGGGTTACCAAATAAATTCTGTAAAGTCAACCAAGTGCTTGCAATTCCTATTTTTAAAATGAATGTTGTCAGATCTTATATTACTACAAACCCTGAGGGTCAATTTTTGGAGCCTAGTGGTCCTGGAATGAATAGAAAGTATAATAATGGTAAAGTATAAGTGGTTGAAGGTACTACAAAAGGGATAAGAAATCTATGACCATTTTCTTAAATACATAATATTTTAGAGTAAAAATAAACAATAGTGATTACCCAAAACCAAGACAAAAAAAATTGGTCACAAGCTGGTGACACTACTGAGTGTCATTATGCCTAATATTTAGGTTTTGATGGAATCCAGAAGCCAAAGTTAAGCACCTAGGCTCTTTATAATCTGTGTGTGTGGGATCTAAATCCACCAGCATACTGATTTGTGGCCAGGAAAGGTCTGAAGACAGGGGTGTATCTGAAAAAAAACCATCCTGTTCAAACACTTAGACATCTTAATAAGTGTCAAGCAGAAGAATCTGACCTCTGGGAATGCACAATCAAAAACACTCTCTTAAAGGTGAACATCTCATTCTTTCAAGAATTAAGCATGATCAAGACTCACTCTTTTCTTCTAAAACATAACAGCATTAAAAGTGGATGTCAATGTTCTCTCACACCATAACTTGGTATTTCAAGCACTCCCAAGATGTGGGAACTAAGGTTCAATTCTGTCCCTTGCAGAAGGAGTTTAACTCACAACCTATACTCCTGTGAAGCAAATATTGCAAGAAATTCTCTATATTTTGGAATATGGAGAAAGCACGCATGTAAACTTGCTACGAGGGTACTCACCTGAGCAGGAGAATAGGTGTGTTGACCTGGTAAAGAGGGGTATTCCTGAGGCTAGGTAAGGAAGTGTTCAGGCAAGATAGAATGCTGAATTAACCACTGAGGTGGCTAGTATGTTGAGGAAGACCATGAACACACTTGTGCAGAACCGACATACAGAAAATACTTAGTGATCTCTCAAATAAATCCTCAATTAACACAGATAGCTTCCAAGCCAGGGTTTATTTTCATCTCCCATTCTGTCCTATCCCCACAGATACAACCCACCATCATTTTCCAAATGCTTTGTTCTAAGGCCAGAGAACACAGCATTTGGCTGTTTAAACATGTTTAATAAAAGTTATTTGGGATTACAATCAAGTGAACTGTTTTTTCTTTGCATTTTTTGGTCTTTATACTATGGTGTCCTCTTTCCTTTCTGTACCACTGGAAGTAGTTTTCTAGGGCCTCCCTTATGACAATGCCCTAAGCAGTTGCAATGCTTTCTCAAGTCTCATTGTCTGGGGAGTGGTCTCAGCTGATGAGCCTTTGGGCCTCCACTGCACAGGCTTTCAGGAAGGTCTCCCTCTTGGTTGTACAGATGTTATGCAAAATGCATGCCAGGACACAGGCAGAGGGAGAAAAAAAATATTTTGAGGGGGCTGAACACATGCACACATGCATACATATGCACTCTCCCCTCCCTCCCCCCCCACCCAGCAGGTAAGTCTGTGGGGGAAGGGGAATGGGGAGGAGGAAAGGGTATAGTGGGGCAGATTGAGGCCCCCATGGTGAGGGAGGAAGTGGGGCACAGGCAGAGGCAGGGGACTAGGATGAATGGGGCCCCGGCCAGGCTGGGTAGTGGGACCATCAGAACCCAGGGGGCTTGTCCAGCGGTACGGAGGGGCTCCTGCCACTATATGCATCCCAGCGAAGGCTCAGGGGGCACGTCCCGCGTGATCTGACCGTGGGGCAGAGGCTACTCCTGCTGAGTCCTGTTACTCATTAGCCAGAGCAGACAGGGAGCAAACACCAGCACACATTGCTTGCAACTGCTTTATTCACAATGGAGACAGCTTCAGGTGAGCTCCCTCACAGACACACAGCCCATGAAACCAGGGGAGCAGCCTCAAACAATACTTCTTTTCATATTTATAGACTTTAGTTCAGGTTAGTTAACATTCACTCCACCTTCATTCCTCTTCCTGCTCCACCCATTTCTCCTCCTATCTCAAGCTCCACCTCTGTTTACTTCATTAGCGTGGAATTGCCTATGCATTTCATTCATTTACATGTCTTTTTGCTATGAGCACATGTCTAGGACCTTGACTCTTGCTCTTCGGTCAATGGGCGGACTTTGACCAAAACCTGGAGGCTTCTTCACCAATCACCATTCACCTTTTTGCATATGTTCATCTTGGATTCTGTTACCAATTATGTATTATTTTTCACATTCCAGTCTGTCTTTCTGTCTCGTGTTGTACCATTTTCCACATTCCTAAAGCTTCACCTCATTCACAGCATGCAGACTCACACAGACTCACTTCAAAGACACAGTTAAGATGGCTACTTAGCATAAGCAAATGGCTAGCTTAGCATAAGCATTCATAAGCAAAATCTGCTTGCCTAAGTACCTTGCAATATACTTTTAATATATCATTCTGCTTTGTGGTCAGCAGCTTCACTAGGCCACAGGTCATGCCTTTATTCAGCTGCAAATCCAGTGCTCCCTAAGTTCCAAATATAGTCACCCTAACACTTTGCACCCCACTGAAGCTGCCACTGCCTCTAGAGCAGTGTGACACCACATGTGTTCCACCACTGGGCAGGCAGGGGGCGCAGCACAGCCCAGTGGCAGCAGGCATGTGGTGTTGTGCCTGTCCCAGGACAGCTGCAGCAGGGCACAAAGCACAGAGTGCAGCAGCAGCCACCTCTGCCCCATGCACAGATTGGGGGGAACCTGTGGTGGGAGTTGCACCCCTGGACAAGTCTCCCAGGCTCTGATTGTCCCACCACCTGACTTGGTCAGGGCCCCATTCACCCAAGCCCCTGCCCCTACCTGTGCCCTGCTCCCTCCCTCACCACAGGGGCCTTGATCTGCCCCCCCCCCCGCCGCCACTTCCCTTCACAGAATCAACTAGTACTTTCCTGCTGTGCTGGGCAGACAGTGATCCACATGCCAGGCTGCGTGTGCGACCCTCCCCACCCCTGCTGCAGCCACTAGGCCGGGCTGCCTTGTGGCCCTATCTGCTGCCCCATTTTGGGGGGGGCTGAGCCCTGTTAGTGCTGACCTTCTACCGCTTATGTGCCAGGGGCAGGTATAGCTACCTACCATACAGATAGGATGTCCTCTACCGTGCCTCATGGAAAACGGAGTTTGTCTTTCCATGTTCATAAGATATTGAATGCAAATCAGTGTTCTAATAATAACTTCCAAGCAACAGGATGAAATAAGGAAAAGTACATTCCATTAAGAAAAGCAAATCTTGAACTGCTTACCTTCCCTCGCAGATGCCTGCAAAGATTAAACAAAATATAAAAAGTTTCCTGATACAGTATATTAGCTGCAACACACAGAAGCAATACTGACATGGTTAATTGTACTTTAATCTACCAGGACTGTTTCCAAATGGTAATCTGAACAGCAACAAATCAGAAATGTGTGGTCAGTCATTGAACTTACAGTACACTGACGTACTGCCAAGTTTCAGCTATGAGAGGCAGTGTGTAAATAAATAGTGGCTTAACAGATCTAAGGAGGTGATACTTCCCCTCTGTGCAGCATTAGAAAGGTTGCAGATGGAGTACTGCATCCAGTTTTGGGGGATCGGACTCGATGATCTAGTGAGGTCCCTTCTGATCCTAAAAATCTATGAAATGTATGAAATATAAGATAAAAGTGGTTGGAAAAAATGACGTTTCAGAAGTTAATCGCATAGTACCATTACATTGCAAATAGTGGGAGGTAACAGAGGATTTTTATAGAGCATACCAGTGTCCCAAATTCAGCCTGAGGGAACATGGATCAGTGTGTCTTAAATGAGAAAGACACAAATGAACTTGATAACAACATTATATATCTCCAGGAATACTGGCAGCTTAAAACATAGACTCTCTGATTCTGGGGGCTATATCCTTAGTTGATACAAGTCAGTGAAACTTGGCTGACTTCAGTAACCTCAATTTAAATGCTGGTTACTGCACAGTCATTTATAACTTGATTATGCAAGTACTAAATGACTGTGCAGTAACATCTGAGCAGTGGGTGTTCTGTGCAGCCTTACCCAGTGACTCTCAGGTCATTTCCCAGGCCATCTGTCCCAGGGAGAATATATATGTTATTTAACCACCTAAACAAGAGCTTTTCTTAATAGAAAAAAGGAAGGTAGCAGAATTTAAAACCAAGTTGAAGCTCAGTATGTGAACAAAATTCACTCTAGAGAGAGGACACCAATACAGACATTAGAAAGAAAGGGGTGGGGGAAAAAGCCTGAAAGAAACTTTATTACTTATTCAGTGACACCAACCATTCTGAATGATGTACATGTTAGTCAAGATACAGATAGGAAGGTTGTTTAGTAACTACTCATTCCTTCTCCTAGGTACCATTTGAGTGTATTTAAAATATGTTTAAAAATAGAGGGGAAGGAGAAGATCTTTACCCCAATAGGTTAGGTAACTTACCTGGGAAATAGGAGATCTTCACTCTACCTCCCATCAGCTTATGAGTAAGTGCAGGGTTCAAGATCTGTAAAAAGAGAGAGCAAGCAAAATAAATCCAATTGTGTAGCCCAGTGATAAATGCATTGCCATGACAAGAAATGACCCTTGGTTCTGGCCTTTGTTCCCAATATTGTTTCTATATATACTGCAGTGACTATATAACACAACAATAATAAGTGCCAGGCCCAGAACCCATGGCTGTCTCCCACCTAGAACAGAATCTGCCTCCTTAGGTCACAAATGTAGGTTCCCTTTTGCTTGCATACCTTCTGATTTGTGTAAGATTCTTATTGAGGCTGCCCAGTAGGCTAGTTTCAATACTTGGGGTGAACACTCTAGGCCTGTTTAATCACCTTGCAGCTAGGACACTTTCCTGGGAAGTGGGAGATGTAATGAGGAGGCTTATAACCCAGGTATCTATCCCACAATGCACAATATCATTATGGCTACAAGTGTGGCCCCTAGTGTTTTTATTAAATTTTAGCTTAATACAATGGAATAAATTTCCATTATTCCCTATTGGTAAGTACATACACTTTTTACCAGTTCATTCAGTTTTTCTGTCTCTACACAATCTCTTAAAAAGAAAGACAGAATGAAAATAAATGTGCTGGACAAAAAAAAGAATAGGAAAGTAGTTATTTCAATAAAGCCAGAGAAAAAAAATAGCATAGGATTATACCGGGAAAATAATATTGTATAGATCTATAATAGAAATTGTCCATGGTAGAATAAAAACCACTACAATGCCATCCTAAGGCTGCAGTGTTGTCTGTGCTAAATGATCATAATAATATTTCTTCTATGATCTAGATGGAGTTGCAAACCACACTTTGGGAGCAACATAGGTTTATGAACCATAACTTATTGTAATCTGTGCCAATGTTTTCTGCTCACTGAGTCTTGGAAACACTTGGGAAAGGAAGAGAAGCAGAATTCCTTGACATTTCTTTCCTGACGATGTTGTTCACAAAATAAATAACAAGCAAGGGAGAACACTGTAACATTTGAATACAAGAACACATATAAGGTGAATGGAAAATATTATTTTACTTAAAACCCTAGCCTATTGTACTTGTATGTCTCTATGCTCTCATGCAAGTAATATATATATATATATATATATATATATACACACACACACACACACACACACACACACACAAACTACACAAAAGTTCTACAGCAAAAATATTTATACCCAAAAGCTTGCAAAGAAGAATTTTTCCAACCAATTGGTCTAATAAATTATCAGATTTACCCAAACAACCTTGTCTGCCTACAGCAAGAAAAGTATTTTGGAATTCATTTAACTCATTTGGAATTTAGGATCAGAACAGGAGATGGGCAAACTACCTGAGAAAATAATTATTCTTCTATCATAATTACTACCTCCTTTAAAGAAGCAATTAATTTGAAATAGTTTGTGTAAAATTCTCATCTCCTGCAATATAAATGGAATGTCTTGCTGAATGGAAATGCTGTGCATGACTTGTCCTATGGTAGGAGCGGATCTAAGTGGGGTTGCAGTGACAGAGATGCACCCTCCTTTCCGTCAATTATGCTAGGAAAGTAGCAGCTGTGGAATTGTTTTAAGTCTCCAAAGCAATTAGGAATCTGATTTTCAGGCTGGGGAACAAAAAGTGACATTCTCTTCTCCCTGCAAGCAGAGGAGACTGGAATTCCTTGAAACTCATATTCTGTCACAAGGAAGGATCTTCCCAGTGCAAAAATAGACCCTCCCTCACTTCTCCCTCCATTCTCAGTGGTACCTCTCCTTCACTTCTCTCCCTTACCCCCTGGCTCTCTGCTGCTGATGTCTCTAGCTGTCCCAGGAGGTAGGGGCTCAGGGAGAGCTCCAGAGTTTCTCCTGATCACTTCAGCCACACTCTGTGGGAAGTCAGGCTTGGTAGAGTGGGTAGATGTCCTGTGTTCCCTTTCAGCCTGTGAACAGATGCAGGGGAAGGGATCCTCCTTGCTGACCCTGTTGCTGCCTTTAGCCAAGTCTAGTTCCACCTGCAGCCCAGCTGCAGCAGGGCACGAGTGGATCTTAAGCCCCTACCTCCAGATCAACTGGGGACAGCTGCAGCAGCAGGTGGGAGACAGGGGAAGGAAGGGCAGGGCATGGAATGGGATGCGCCCCTACGCACAGAGAAGAGTGGGGAGAGAAGATTCTTTCATGCTTGAAGAACTTTACAAAAGACTTCCACATGTGCAGTGTGGTCTGCCAATGCTGCTGTGCTGGGAGTAGAAAGGCCACCCTGCAGAGCAGGTCACTGCTCACACACACCTCATTTCAAAATCTTGGATTGCCCATGAGTTCCCCCACCCTGCTCTGTCCCCCAGGAGCAGAAATGGAAAGAGGGAACACCCTTGCCTACTTCTGCTGCTATTGTTGCTGTTCTCAGCTCAGCCCTGCTTCTTGCTGGAGCAGACAGGATCAGCTTTGAAGCTTCCACGTCTTAGGAAAACAGTGAAAGGCAAATGAGGTGGGGCAGGGTGTGCTTTTTATCACAGAGGGAAAGGGGAGGGATTCCTATGTACTTTGGGGACATTTTAACGTTACCAGAGTCTCCCGCAGCACAGAGGGGGAGAAGGGAGTCTGGGAGCAGGGTGCAGTCATCCCTCCAGTGAAGCACCATGATTCGCCAAAACCTGGATTCTGCCCCTGTCCTCTGTCATGGGTCAACCTGCTGAATCCAGACACCGTAGGCTAACCAGTAAAAGAAAAAAGATAAATCAGATCATTATTTAGAAATTGCAGGAAGTTTTCCATCATTCTTGGATAGAAAAATACAGTAATGTAGCTATAAAGTCCTATGCAAATCTTCAACAACTATATACTCTTGCAATGGGGCTGGATGCTACAACATTGTATCCAGTAGTACACTTAACATTACACAGATCCACCTGGCTCAGAGCTACTCTGGGAGGCAGGTGCCCAGGACTGACCCACCCCCACCTCCATGCCCTCTGCCAATCTGGGTGGCTTGGAGCTGCTCTCCCCCCTCCCCTCCCCCCAGCAGCCAAGGGAAGTTCCTGACTCCCTGTAGTGCCATTCTGGGCTGGTAGAGGGCACTAGGGGCAGCCCTTGCTTGGCAGAGGGCATGGGGAGGAGGTCAGGCCTGGGCACATGGGAACTCCAAGCTCCCTGTGGCTTGGAGCGGTCCCCAGCTTGTTAACTGCTCCCTGGAGCTTGGGGCTAACCTGTGGCTCCCTGCTGCCCGGGCTGACAAGGAGCAATTTGCTCCTAGTCAGTGTCTATATGTGCACTTTGTTGCATTAATTTAATGCACCTTTTTCTAGTATCTGTATCTACTGGTACTAGAAAATGGCACATTAGATTAATCTACTGTGCTGTAATTGCTGCACACGTGAAAACAGTGATGCTTTATTGTGCATTAGTCTAATGTGCAGTAAAGCACCTTGTGTAGGCACCCCCAGCATGTGTTCTCCATATCTTAAATTGCAAGGGTCATTCTTAAGAGACTGTTGCTGGAAGTCCATAGTGGAAAAGGAAATCAGTTTATGCCTTCCCCATCCTCTTACTCTATAATTTAGCACAGTGAAAACAGTATGCTTACAAAATCCAGAAACCGATAAAGTCCAAAAATGTCACCTTACTGGTATATAATAGACTTTTGTTTTCAGGCATATGTCAGTTGTTTTGACTGAATGCTGAGTTATCAGCAGGGATTCTGGTTTTCTCTTTAAAAAAAAAATCCCCAAATTTCAGATAAAAAAGTAACCCAAAATCTACATTTCTCCATGATTAAATTGAAACTCCACTAATAGATAGGTATATTTATAGTGGTGTTTCATTTTAATCCCAGAAAAAGTGTGGATTTTGGGTTACTTTTTTAAAGCAAAATATTGGGGATTTTTTATCAGAAAAAAACAGAAGCCCTGATGATCAGCTTTTTATGTAAAACTTTTGAAAATATTAGGTAAAAAAAAATAGGTAAAAAGTTAGGAAGGTTTTGCAAAGTTTAGTTTTGTAGTTCTGTAATTTGGGCATCTAATTTCTGATTTATCACCAGGGATCCTAGTTTTCTCTGATAAAAAAATCCCCAATTTTCAAGTTTAAAAAGGTAACCTAAAATACACACACACACACACACACACACACACGTATTGTGTGTGTGTGTGTGTGTGTGTGCGCATATGCATTACAATGCTTCAGGATGGGCAGCAGGGGTTAATTGATTTTTAACAGCCTGGGTCTCATACAGTTTCTCAGCCTTCAGAAGCAAACAGGTTGTCTAACAAACAATGTATATATATAAATGGAATGTCTTGCTGAATGGAAATGCTGTGCATTATTTGTCTATGGTAGGGGCGGATTTTTATATATGTGTGTGTGTGTGTGTGTGTGTGTGTGTGTGTGTGTACATATATATATATATATATAAATTGTTTGTTAGACAGCCTGTTTGCTTCTGAAGGCTGCAAAACTCTGTATGTGAGACCATATATATAGTACATATATATATGTGTAGTGTACCACACACACACACACACACACACACAGAGTGTTTTGTACATAGACATACACACATATATACATATGTATAAATATATAGTGGTTTCATCTTGTTCATGGACAAATCTGTATTTTGGGTTACTTTTTTTACCCCAAAATTGGGTTGTTTTGATTTGTTTTGTTTTGGTTTTTTTAATCAGAGAAAACAAGGATTCCCTGTTTATCACTATGGTTTGGCCTGGTTGATGGTTTAAAGTTTTATCTATACTAGAAAAGTTCTAAGTGACCTACCTTAGCATTCATTTCACACTCCATTGATCTGAAATCACACAGCCTATGTAACATATCTTCAAAAAAACGTGAACATTCAGATTTATTTCCTGTCATTTTTGGTACTGACCACATACCACATACTACTTACCACCAAATTCGCATCCCACAGTTCCCTTATGAAACATACAAAGCCATTTATCTTCATTCTGTGGTCAAAATGTAATGCAACTCTCTTGTCTGTATTCTTTAATGCAGATTGACCAAGTTGGCTGCAAGCTTAGTAGTACATCAAATCAGGAAGCCCTTGCATTTCATTAGAACAGACTTACATTACATCCCGAAGAGAGGGAGAGAAAGACAGAAACATATTTGTTGTATGCTTAGTGTTTTCAAACTAGAAATTATCATTTTCTAGCTCGTACTTTGAAATGTAGGCCTTAATCATTTCTTTTCCTTCCAGACTTCCATATTCTTAATCCCATAGTAAAAATACATTTTCAAGTGTTGTACAAATCTTTAAGGCATTTTTGTTCTCAACTTATCTATTTCAATATGCCATAGTTCTTTGACTTTGGTAGAATCGTCCAAATGTATGCTACCACAACCAACAGCAGATTCTGTATCTGAACTTGATTTTATTGCCTGCATTGATTCAAGGAATTAGCATTTTTTCTAATCCACAAGAATAAATAATAGGTTACAAAAAGTGAAGGTGAACTTATTGTATTTCTTCAGTTCTTTTGTTAATATTTTCTATACATTAAATTTTTGTCTTTCATTTACAACAGCAAAAATTAAATTTGGTTATCTGAAGTGTTTTATTTGGTAAAAGTTATGCTGTGGGGGTTTTTGCCTTCCTCTGTTGTGAGGGACATGGTCTTCATCCTTGTAGTTCTCAAGTGCATCTTAAAGATCCTTGCAGCAGCATAATACTGACAGCTCTTGTACCCCATTTACATGTGGCAGATTAGGGTGCTCTTGATGTCTTTGGTTTATGTGCCTTGTAAATATGTGGTAGGATTGATTGTGTAGGTTTCCAAATAGGTTCAACAAGGACTTGTTTAGACAGAGATGATCCTGCCTTGAGCAGGGGGTTGGAGCAGATGATCTCATAAGGTCCTTTACAACACTTCTTTTTTATGATTCTGCGGAGTTTAGACTATTTCTTTGGAAGTTACAAGAAATAATTCATTTTTTTCTAGGCTTCAGAGTTCCCATAAGAGAGACAAAGTGTTCTGACCCTGTGTATCCTGCCTCGGGGAGTCTGTGTTAAATTATGATCTCTCATTTGACCCAGTGACCTGCCAGAATTCACTATCCTGTGCCAGGCTGAAGCAGTCCTGTTATATGCATTGTGCTTATGCGCACTGGGAGTTCAAGTGAATTAACCAAAATGGTAATGCCTCTAATTGCACTACAACCCTGGTTGGAGGTTTTCATGTACCAAGGCTAAACTGAAGCAAACTAAAAACTGCTTTACTCCTGAATGAGAGGATACATATGCACGCTTTAAGTTACGTATTTTAAGGGTTAGTCTACATGGTTTTGAGACAGTATATTAGGTAGGATGGGAAATGGCAATGCACTAATTCTTCTGCTTTCACCGGATGGACATGCTGCACAGCCCAGGGCTGCTCTGACCCTGCTCAATGTCCTATGGAGGGGCTGGCCAGGGCACAAGGGTGCTACAGTAAGGTGCTAGCCATCAGGCAGTCCCCACACTATAGCACCCTCATGCCCCAGCCAGCTCTGATCATGGTCTACACATGCATTACAGTGGAGTAAACAACTCCACTGTAGGTTAATACTTGTGTTGGCCAGTACTATTCTACAGTGGGATTATTTTTTTTTCTGAAGGTTCTGCTAGCCCATTTCATTTCTAATAACTGAGCAGCAGGTCTGGGGAGATGTCTGGGTAGGCTGTCAGAATGAACAGTCCAAATGATGACTGTTTGTTAGAGTGGGAAGATAGGACATTGTATCTTAATGGATATATTTGTCAGGTTCAGGAAAGGTATTTCCTTCGGGGGCTGAAGGCCAGAGGTCAGATTCAATCTTTTCTGTAATATACTGGAAAATATAATTCCCAGAAATTAGGTCAAATGGGTATCAGTCTGAAATCAAAAATGTAGTTAATAGTGATGGGGTTACATGAACATGAACCTATTCACTATAATTCATAGAAATACTTAAGGAAAATTTAGGTCCTTACGGTCAAGAGTGCAATCCAAAGTCCCTGCCTAACCACTAGTACTTTGGCAGCTAAAGTTCTGCCATTATGCATGATCATAAACACTTTGGCAAGGTTAAGGGTCTCAGCACCTATTGCATACTTAGGCCCTGTTAGGAGCCACAAAACAAACATCTCTGTACCCAAGACCTCTGAAGAGTAACAAGAAGCCCCTTCTTGCTTGCACTCCCCAATTTGTGCATTTCTTTTTCCTTCTGAGTATTGTCAGAGACGTAACATACTTATTGCATGGGTGTGCCAAGGCTCAAAGCAAGCCAGAAAGCTGAAGTGGCTTTCTGTAAGAGAAACCCAGAAACTACATCTAAGTGTCACTAAAGAAAACAAAAGAACTAAACTATCCACTTCAAAGACTGTAAATATATCCTGGTGCTAACCTAACTCACTCACTGTCCCCTGAAGCCTTTGATCCTCACTACCTCACATTACATGTTTATATATTTCTTACAGTGCATTTTTATATTTCATCTGTCTCATCTTTACCATGGCGTTTTCCATTTAATAGTTTATACTTTTAAACCCTTAAGGAATGTACTCCCTGTAGAATAAAGGTACACCCTGGACCATTGTTAAAAGCTGCATTGAAATTGTATTTGTAAAGTGATAAAATCTGCTGTAGTGGGCTTATTTTGAGGGACCACTCTGAGGCCTGTCAGAGCAAGGGCTCCAAACTGCACATAGGGAGACAAGCTCAGAGTGATCTTAATGGTGACCTTCTGGGTTTGGTGACCTTCTGCCTGTAAACATGTGTGGTCACCTCATATTAAAGGTATCTAGGATCCCCTGGGTGCCAGGACCTGCTGCTGAAGAAGCAAGGCTGAATAGACAAGCCCAAATGAGCTTACCAATAGATGACTTAGTCTCATTGAGGGGTTAGAGTTCAGAAGTGCCCTTTCTCCTGCATTTTTATGGATGAAGTACAGGCTATCGTGAATCCATTCCTTTAACAAACATTCAGAAGAAATGTATTCACTTAATTCAGGTCTATACATTTTAATATGGGGACCAAACACCCAAAAAAAAAAAAAATGGTGTGGTTCTCTGTCCAAACTCAGAACTACTCTATATAGCCACAAATTACATTACTTGTGGAAAATATAACAGACTTTTGTTTCACCTGATTTTCTGTCTTTTCCCAAGTGACCTAAGTATTAGGTATTTGAATTTTTCCCTTCACATGCTGTATAAGGTGGTGTGCCTTTTGATTCAAGCTTGTCATCATTACATTACTTAAAAGAACTAAAGATGCAATTAATGTCTAAGGTAATTTTAATGGCATTTCACTAACATTCAATACTAGTTCCTTGAATACCCTATAATGACTTTTAAAAGTAATTAATACCCTTTTTCTAATTCATTTTTATATCTTCCTTTCTCCGCTATATAAATAAGAATCTCTATTAAATAACTCCTACTCAATCCAATACTGTACCCAGAACAATTAAAATATTTCAGAGAATACATTTAGTGAGGGCGGGCATATTCTCCCATTAGCCTTAAAAGCATGGTTAATTATGTACAAAAAGGTATTTTACATTGTGTAAATGGAAGATTTGACAAAAAGCATAGCCATAGCCACAAAAGATAGACATATACTTAGAATTTATAGAACTGATAAAAGAAACACAGGTTTTTAGCTAATGTGGATTAAAATCATGTTTTAAATAATTGAATAAGGTATTTCAGTATCTTTATATACTGTGGTTTGAGATGCCAATACTTAGTGTTATTTAGCTCTTGTTTATAACAGGACAAACTTATGAAATGCTGGTTTCCTAGGTCTATTTCTTAAGAAAATAATGTGGCTAACTTGTGAAATAAATAGCAAATACTTGTTCTAAGGCATGGGCTTACAGATATATATGAGAAATTGATAGGGAATTAATGGTTCACTACCACATTGGTTCAATGAAAATCAGAATCTTAAACTTCAGTCTCAACAGGATAGATAAGGATTTGCTTTGGATAGTTTGATAGGGATGATCCAGGAAGGGGTTTGGATTAGATGACCTCCAGAGGTCCCTTCCATCCCTACTTTTCTATGATTTTATGATTCTCTTTAGTCTTTCTTTGCCTCTGGTCAGTATCTTGGGGACAGAAGACCTATACATAGAATTTTTGGTCTATGGGAAAAAAAATGTGCTTTGTTATAAAAGTTGGATTATATTTTTACATTTCCATGGAAGAGAAAAATGTTATGAAAATAACTGAGGCATTTTATTTCAATCTTCTAAACAAAAACGAGTAGTAGTGCAAGCTCCAAACCTCCTTGTTTTCTTATTGCTACTTACGGTTCAGCTCTCCATCAACCTTAGAAGACTCATGGGAAGCAGGGATGCTACAAGCCCTGGATCTAACAAGGCTTTGGCTCCCAGATCTGCAGCAAGGAATTTAAAACCCTGAGAGACCTCATTTAGGTGAGGTATGGAGCTGGGAGTGTTGCCCCAGTTACAGTCAGGCCCTCCAAACTTGAAGCCTCATAGCAGAAATCCTGGAAGCTTTGAGATGCCCTAGTTCAACTTCTGGTTCTCTGAAGCTCTTTCATGCAAAGCTGAAGATCTCAGGTACTCCATGAATATGCAGACTACATATAAAAGCATGGCATAATGATGTAGCAGTATCCATTCCTGTTAATTTACTTGTTTTCTTGAAATGGTGAGACTAGGAATGGTGCGTGCATGTGTAACAAGGCCCTGCCCTGTTACAGGTCTTGGGGGGGATCTGAACAGCCCCACACCCAGAAACACCTCTGCACACCCACCCCAGACCTGGAAGAACTCACCAGAGGCTGGGGAACCAGGTCCTGGAACATAGTGAGTCCCTCAGCAAGGGAACTGACACAGGTGTGGGAAGTGAGAGAAAGTTAGCCATGTGAGCCCAGATGGGGAAGGATAAAAGACACTGAAAGCAGCCTCAAGGGTCTGCACCTGGCCAGGAAGTAGGCTGCCTGGAGCCACAAGGGGTTAAGCAGCCACTAGGAGCAGGATTCTTCTCTGTTTGCTTGCTTGATCCTTTGCTTTGTTGCACAACTCTGCAGGCTCTGGAAAGCCTCTGAAAGATAAGAGGCAACCAGGAGGTGAAAAGCCTGGAAGAACCACTGGAAGACTGCTAAGTGCTAACTTATTTGTTTAACTTATTTTGTTTGTTTTTGCATTGCTACCAAGCCTGGGTGGCCTCCAAGTATTATCGCCTAGTCTGGCTGCAGCAGGCACAAGGCCCCTTAACAGGGGGTCCTTGGCCAAAGACGGTAGCAAAAATAAAACTGGTCAGCTCAACTAGCATAACCAAACATAACCTGCTGTGCTCTGCTCATAGCAGCCTACAGCATGCTATTTAGATCATTAATTATCTTGCAACTATTCATGACCTCTATGCCCAACCAAGAAAAAATTACTCAATATGAAGCAGTTGTCCAAGAGCTGGAAAATGCTCTCACAAAAGAGAATGTCTTTGTTGAGAACAGTGATGTCAGTGGCAAAAACCATGGTTTGGCTTTAAAACTCAATATGATTTAATTGATGCCTTGGAGGAACAGAAGTCTAAAAATGACTGTGCTAGTTTCCAACAGATCAAGAAGACTACAATGAGCTAGAAAAATTTTATAGAAAAAAGAAATAATATCAGATAAGGCTATGGGAGGAACTGGGAACTGCAGGGAAGAATAATGATAATCAAAAATTTGGCAAAGTATAAGAAAAGGGACAAAAAATGCAGCTTAATTGCTGATGCATATCTCTCTGAAGATAAATAGGTCTTGTTTTCAGATAGTGAAGTACCTGGTAGATCCCAGCTGAAGGAAAGTTTATGTTAAACTACAAGAAAAGCATTATCTCACCTCTGAAACAGAGTAAGATCATATATAAACTTACTGAGAAATGGAAAGGCCCATGTCCTTGATTATCTTCAAGGAATCCATTGACTGATGGTGTCCAGTATTTAATATAATTATTTTAGAAGTAACTTATCTGAAGCAAAATATGTTAGTCTTAATGTTTGAAAATGGTGACAAAAGAGAGATGCTATATCATATTTCCCTTATGTGTATCATATGTCTTATGTGTATTCCAGCCCAAATATTTGGGAGACTTGCCTTTTCATCTCTGGATACAGATTATGAAAATAATACTTTGGGAGAAGAGCAGGCTGGTTCCAGAGAAGGCTATTCCTATATGGGCCATTGCTTAGGGCTGCACTATTTAACATTTAAATATAAAAAAAAAAAAGACAAATCATTTATACGCACCCATCATATATCTAAAGAGAGCTTTTAACTCCATCAGCAGATAAAAATTAGGGGAGCTGGAAATTACACCAATGGATAAAGGTCTCTTATAGTTAATTATTACTTACTATTAAAAACAGCATCTAAACTTCATTATGGGATTGGGGGTTCCCTGTTCAGTAATTTCCCAACTAAGACAGGATGTTTTCTTGATCTACTACTTTTTAATTTAATCCTGAATGATTTAAATTGAGTTCTAAGTGGGAATCAATTCCATGAACTCATGATATTGAATGACCGTATCCTTGTCTTGCTTTATGCAGATAACACATTAATAATGGCATGATTCCAAATAGGCCACAAAGTTTATTAGATGTTTTTAAGCGTTACTTCACCCCAAATAGCTTGGAATCAACACTGCTATATCTGACACATTGCTTTTTGTGAACAGTAGGAGGAAACAACTTTGTGTTTTTATAGGAAAAGAAAAGGTGGTGTCTCTTAAGTATCTTGTAATCTATTTTAGAAAAACTTTAAACTGAACTCAATGAAAAATTCAACACTAGAATAAAACAAGCCTTGGGTAGAGTGTTTATCCTTTTACAAGATGGGCAGAAGATAGATTTATAGACCTTTTAGTCTATAACTGCCAGAACCTAAGGTAAAGTTCAGTTTATTGTTTGGAGTATAACTTTGGGGTGCTGACCTTATTGTCCACTTAAAAGATTTCTAATGACTTTTCAAGGTGTCTTTTTATTTCTACCTAATTCTAGGCGGGGGGGGGGGGGGGGCTGCCACTTTGTACCAAGAGGGGGGGGTCATGCACTCTGAGACCAGACTGATTCATGTAAGTATCTTATCTCAATGGTGAACTCGGGATGAAAATTAGACCTCTTTTGCCTACCAGTACACTAGTAAGTGAATTCTAGAAACCTTTCCTTTTTTACATAAACCATTACTTGCAATTTTAAATAACATCTATATTTTCCTCCGGACAAATGACCTGGGAAATATTACTGAAAGTTACTGACCCAATATTACCTCTACATTTGCAATGTGACACGTTTAATAATTAAAAATGCCAGCATGCAGACAAATATTATGGCAGTGAGACTGCCTTGAACAACTTATTTTTAAGATTAATAAAACACTCATTTGGCCTAGAACCTACCTTTCCATGGTGGAAAACTACAAACAACAAGAGGCAATTACTAGACTGAGATTCACCCTAAATACTTGTACAGTTGTCATGGGCAGGTGGTATTGGACCCCATGTTCAGATGTAATATGTTCTTGTGGGAAAAATCAGTTGGCTTAAATTGTCCTTTGTGGGGGTCTTTTTGCTCTGTGAAGTAATAAAAGGCAAATGAATCTCTCTCTGTTATTGGGAAATTTTGGATGCTGAACTAGTGATAGGAACCCCCCTCCCCCCCCCAACAAAATCCAGCATCTCTCTCAGAATTTGGATCCTATCCTATACTCTTTAGCTGTATTTGTACTACTGGCACAAAGAATTAGGGACAAAACAGATGGAATTTCCCTGCTCTGTTTTATTTCCACTGCTTTTATTTTTATCTTCATATACTAGGTTTTGTTTTATTTTTGTGGTAGAATGGACAATCTTATTGCATGCTCTTAGGAACAAGTACAAATTATATAAATGCTGTTATTTTCTTATATCTACTTCTTACTGTTCATTTTACTGTCCTGTTTTAGCAGAAGCTGTAAATAAACCTCTAAGTACTAGTAGTGCAAAGCCAAACTAATAACTAACAGATTTGCAACATATTCTTATACCATGACATGGGGCACAGGGGATCAGTCACAGGCTCCTCTGGGTGTTCCGGTACTCAGGGTCTTCAGAGAGCTCCAGACATGTGACATTCCCATGTAAAAGTACCAAGCCCTTTGTTAGTTACTCTGTAATTGTATTGCAATGAAGTCCCATCACTGAGTCCTGGCCCAGGTACACTCTACATGGATGAGGATGGCAGAAGACATTATCAGTTTGGCCTTATGACTCCATTTCCATATATTCCCTTTCTGGCATTTTTTCTGCTACTAAGCTGCTGCCTCAATTTTCTTTGGAGTCTGCAGCCCCCAAATAACCTCTGAAACCATCTCTTGACAACAGTTTCTACAGAAGCATGAAAAAGCAAACAAACAAATAAAATGTTCCTCCACTAAAAAGTAGTCTGTTACTAGATATAGTATGCCTGCCTTGGCCTATGCCATCAGATGACCATACTATCTTAGGCCCTATCAGGAAATGAATTTGCCAATTCTATACTATTTATTCACATATTACCTAAAATATGGAAACAAGCTCTTCTTAGTGCCTTGTGAATGGCCATACACAACATGAGTCCTTTTCAGTGCTATAAATATCATGATATATAACCTGCTGCAATACAAAAAGAAACCCCTCCCCAGCCAGCAACCGCAAGTCCCTGGTGGTGACCTACCATCCCACCTTGGAATGTATCAGAAGAATCATTAAACAACTACAGCCTATACTTGACAAAGACCAAACCCTGACACAAATACTCCCAGCAACTCTGCTTCTGGGTTTTAAACAACCCCTTTGCCTAACTTATCAGAAGGAAAATATATAAAGCCAAAAGATACAGCTGTGTATTAGCAAAAAAATCCTTAACCTCTCAACACATCTTCACTGTTACTAAAAACAACACCCCCCACAAAAAAAACATTGGAATCCACTGTTCCTACACGAGTTTCCCAAAATGTGATATATCAATTCACCAAATCCAATTAACTAAATGAAACTATGCACCAGAATGAACCCCCACTATCCTCATTATACTTCCTTTCAGACCTCAAGATCTTATCATGCTCAAGGGAAATCTATCTAATACTTCTAAAAGGCAAACCGGGGAACAAAAATTCATAAGCTCTCTGGATACTATGAACATCAGATTTAACACTAATATTGCTTTTTATGGCACATTATAATCTACCGGATTCCGAAATTCTTCCCACACATGAAAAGTGAGAATGACCGTCCTCCCTTTTTATAGGACTTGATCTCCCAGTAATCAACTTCATTTCTTCTGCTGTTTGTCCAGTACCTCTGGGAATTTCTCATCCCCACTCTTCAAATTGTGCTGTGCAGTGCTGTCTTTCAGTTCACCTATCTTGAATTCAAAAACTTGTCCATCTCAGCTGTGCAGTTGGTCTATTACACTAAGAAATCCTTGTGTCTTGCATGATACATGTTGAACAGCTATATTGCTTATCATGGCTAGACACAGCGATAGCAGGGATGTGAGGAATGAGGAGTAACCACAGGTGCTGTCCAGATCAATACATTTTTGAGTTAAGCCAGAATTTAGTGCCTTACAAACAGGTTGCAAGTAAATCAAGACTTGTATCTGTAAAATAATAGGCTATAATTTGGGGCCTACCCACCTTGAAGAGGCAGACAGTCAAATTCACGGGCATATCAAAGGGCTGGCTACCATTTTCAAGGGCTTATCATGGCCTGGTCTCTCCACCCTATGCCTCTGATTGGCCAAGGAGGCCTGGTGTCCCCACCCTCTGCTACTGATTGATGGAGAGTTCTGTCTGTCATATGACTGGCTGAGAGGGCAATATGTCATGTGGCCCCACACGTCA